TAAATCTTAACTGCCATACTTTGGACAATATTTGTAACTGACATGAAAATATTTCTATCTTGGGCACAAAAAGAAATGGTTCACTCCTTCTCTACAGCTATTTATATCAATGCATAAAATTTAATAAAAGAAACATATCCTCTATACAGTACTTTGCACAGTATAACATATTTTATAAATACCTGTATACGCCAAACAAAACTTTATTCTTTATCACAGGAAATAAATTCAATTTTTGAAAATCACAGCCTTTATGTATATTATAAATATTCATCCCCCACAAATAATTACCTGCCATACTTATGACAGCTTTTGTAAACAAAAAAACCTTTGTCAAAATAAACACATGTATGTTTATTTCCTTCAAATAAAATTAGTTGAATATGTAAGAAATAGAACGAATAACTTTTACTTTAGATGCCAATTTCTGAAATATTACAACATCATTCATATGTTTTAGCCATGGCATCATATGCAGCTCCTGCTTTCCTTAAAACACTATCTAACAAATCCAAAGAATTATTCAATTTTTCATGTGTCTTTTCAATTGCAGTTTGTTGTAGTTTTTGTGTTAACATCATTTCTTTTTTCAGTTTCATTTCCTCCTCATGCTCCCTATTCAATCTGTACAACTTAGATTTATGTAACTCTTCTTGTCTTTTATCACACATTTCATAGACACTTGTCACCCTCCTAGTTCGCCTTGGTTTGCTCCTTGGCCGAGAACCAGATGCCCTGGACACTGAATAAAGGTATTGGTTGGAAGCATGAGCAGGAGGGGGTGAGGCAATATCACTCGATAGTGAGTCAGGGGCATTGACTGCCGAGGCAGGAGCAATGTTTGGTGAGGCAGGAGCAATGTTTGGTGAGGCAGGAACAATGTTTGGTGAGGCAGGAGCAATGTTTGGTGAGGCAGGAGCAATGTTTGGTGAGGCAGGAGCAATGTTTGGTGAGGCAGGAGCAATGTTTGGTGAGGCAGGAGCAATGACTGGTGAGGCAGGAACAATGACTTGTGAGACAGGAACAGAGGGTGAAAATAGAGGTCGATAAACAGTAGATGGAACTTCAGTAAATTGTGCAGAAGACACAGACGATGGCCCTGGGGTAGGACCAGGTAAAACAAGTGGATCATAGCTGGCGTTGAATGAAGCAGTAATTTCATCCCAGGCCTTTCTTTTCCTATAATTTATGGTGTTGCTTGTAGACCTATCCTCAATGATTGACCTTTGCTCAATATGGCGCAAAAGTGCCATACGTTGGGTTTCAGACAGAGCTGCAGAACGTTCTCTTACTACCTCCTGTTTGATAACCCGCGCGCAAACATTGTTGCCAAGTACTCAGATGAAAAAATTATCTATTTTGTTTCGAACAGATAATAAAGTTCAATTTTATAAAAAAATATATTTTACAATATATTATTGTGCCGGTATAAAATAACAACTAAATATCTCTCAAAATCGTCTTTCTAATTATGTGAAATAATACATTTGGCACACGCGCATGGCCAAAAAAAATTTTGCCATCCGACACGAGCTGCCGTGTTTACACGCTCATGTAAGTGCCTAGGAATATGGCACTCAGCGTTGGGTGGTTGCATCCCGACACACGATCATCGAGATGATGATCGTGATCGTCATTATCGTCGTAATGACGAGGAATACGGCCCTAGTCCTACAGTACACTAGTCCGGCTCAACTGGACTTTAACATTCATCTTATGGATACCCTGAGTTCTCCTTAATGCTATGAATACATACAATTAATATGATATAACTATACCTGGGTACAATACAACACATGGTCTAGTAACATTGAGTAGGCGAGTTATCCTTTATCAATGTTTCCCGTTTTCTGAGGTTCTACAAGCGCGGTGGATTTGAATGTTATATAGCGTAATGTGAATTAAATGGGGTTTTTAGGAATGACAATGATGTGCACAGTACATAATCAGGTATATATTTACCAATTTTATTTTGCAGAGTCAAAACTAGGGCATGCAATGAAAATCATATAAGATTGCACTGTAATTAAAGAAACAAAATTTATTTACAGGAAAAAAGAATACAGTAAATGCCATTCTATAAGAGTAAGCAGTAACTTACATAAAACTCAAATCATTCTTAAATGTGCCAACTCTTTAAGATTAATAACTCAGTAAGACCACACTAAAACATATATTTTCAGTGATCACCATTAGCCCTCTACTTCAAGAACCTCATCTGTCAAGTTGTGAAAAAATTGTGCGTGATTAGATATACCTGCAAGCATATCTTAAAAAAATATCTTCAGAGGGCAAAAATTTGACTCATGACCCTGAACGTTTGAGGCACTCAGATGAGAAAAGAGCTCCATTTACAGTTTAAGTTTTTAAACTATTTCTTTCTTTGGTTTTGAAGAGAATAATTTTGCTGAATACTCTTTCACATTCAACCCAAAATTATCGTACAAACCGTACGATAATAGAAAATGTTATCGTACATCGTGACGAAGATGAATTTATCTTTTACTTTTTTTTACTTTTATCCTCTTCGCCACTGATCGGCTTGTTAGCCGCTTGGGCGATTGGTCACGTCTCTTTTCATTTATATTCTTCACCAAAAGATCGGCTCGCTAGCCGCCCGGGCGATCGGTCACGTCTCTGTCACGCACTGTTGGCAAATGCTGGGCATGCACCGGCTCCTGAATGTACCTGAACCCGCTCCAGTGTTGGTCAAGTCTTCTCTTGAAAGAGCTCACACTCGGTGCCGTCACAACACTCTCTGGTAGATTGTTCCAAGAGTTTACAACCCTCACTCCGAAAAGTTTGCCCTCACGGTTTTCTGGACTTGAGGCTTCTTCAATCTTGAGCTGTGACCCCTTGTGGGGCGAGCGCCCGCCAGCTCCAAGTAAGGACACTCAACTGAGTAGTGCCCCCCTGAGATGCTTATACGCCTCAACTAGGTCCCCCCTTGCCCGTCTGTAGTATAAGCTAGGCAAGTTCAGGCGCTCCAATCTCTCAGGGTAGCTGAGGTGCCGAAGTGCAGGCACCAGTCTGGTGGCCCTCCTTTGAACATTTTCAACCAACTGACAATCCCTAGCATATCTCGGGGACCAGATGAGGTGACAGTACTCCAGATGGGGAAGCACTTCACTCCTGAAGATCGTCACGAGGGACGGACCGTCTAGATATCTGAACGACCTTCTTATAAGACCCAATAATTTATTTGCCTGATTTACCTTCTTCTTACAATGGCCCGAGAACTTCAGCTCATTGTCAACATACACACCTAGGTCCTTCTCACATACAGTCTCAATTACTGCATTTTCTTCATCCCGTTGGGACATATGATACGCCTCCTTACCGTTGGTACGCCCCAGGTGCATCCTCTTACACTTCGTGACATTGAATCTCAGCAGCCATTTCTTCGACCATTCCTGGAGCCCACAGAGGTCCTTCTGCAACTCTTCACAGTCCGCTTGGTTCTTAATTTCCCGAAATAACTTGCCATCATCGGCAAACATTTGTATGGAGGAGTGTACAACGTCAGGCATGTCATTTATGAAACAAACAAACAACAGCGGGCCCAATACACTGCCCTGTGGTACCCCACTTGTTACAGGTGCAGATGACGATTTCGTGCCATTAATCACCACACACTGCTTGCGGTCATGTAGAAAGTCTTCTATCCACGCTAGAACATTTCCCCGAATTCCGTACCCTTCCAGTTTGATTTTCAGCCTTTCGTGGGGTACACTGTCGAAAGCCTTGGCAAAATCTAGGTAAATATTGTCGATATTACCACCCCGTTCTAGAATATGGGTCCAAATATCCAATACCTTGAGCAATTGTGTCAAGCAAGAGCGCCCCGGCATAAAACCGTGTTGGCAATCTTTTACAAGGTTGTTTCGTAGTAGATGTTCCATCGCTGCATCTCTGATAATACTCTCAAGTACTTTACATATTATGCTGGTCAGGCTCACCGGTCTATAGTTGTTCGTGGAGTGACTATCGCCCTTCTTGAAGATAGGACTCACATAAGCCACTTTCCATTCACTGGGGACCATTTGTTCATCCAGGCATTTACAAAACAGGAGCTTCAGGGGCTCTGCAAGCTCGTTGCACAGCTCTCATACATGCACGTAAATCACTGTAGGTGCGCGTGATCTAGTTATATGCTGATAACCACAAGGAAAGAAGAAAACACGAAGTTCCCAAGCGCTTTCGTGTAATTGAAGATGTGAATTACACGAAAGCGCTTGGGAACTTCGTGTTTTCTTCTTTCCTTGTGGTTATCATACATGTATGATAATTATCATACATGTGACAACTCTGCTGCTTCAATATGATTGGCCAGCCAATTCAAATGCTATGATACCTGAAGGTCATGTCATGTCATGTCGCGAAGAGGAGGAGACAAGTGACTGGCAACATGGCGGGTACAGAAATTTACTCCTAGAAATTTTGTGAAATGTTCCGTTAATATTGATTTGCACAAGAAATGATATGAAGTCGTATGTTTTATTTTTTTTTGTAGCTGTAATATTGAAAATTGAAATCTTGCGGACAGCCAATGGACGAATATTAACATAAAATATTATAGTTCCATAATATTTTTTTTGATAATAGAAAATAAGGGAGAAAGGGAACACGGTGTTCTTACTTTCACTTCTAGCGAGAATAAATGTCCCTCATTCATTACTGTACAGAGACATAAATAAAGCCAATTATGCCAAACTGAAATTACCCTAAGATCTTAATGTTACATAAAGAATATTTATCTCAATTATATATATTTTATTAGACCTGTTTATATATCTAGCAGTATTATTTATCTTTTCTGAAATACGAAAAAGAATTTAAATCACCAACATACTGTAGTTTACGTAACTATTAAATACAATTTCAACCTTTATATATCTTCAATAGTTTAATAAAACCATTAAATATATATAAAATTATATATTTAAATAAGAGAACTGTGCGTTAGATACATGAATAATGAAAAAAAAAGTTATCACCATTAAATTAGTTTCTTTAGGTTGTTTGTGGTGTTTAGGATGACAGCTGATCACTCCTCACAACTCAGACCAAATTTCCCATTCAAGTTTTTTCTCTCCCCTTACCATGTGATAAACAATCAGGTAAGGTCCTAAAACGTATATTAAAACCACTAATTAAACCTGAATTAATTTTAAAACTAGAATAAAGTTACGTAGTTATAGATGAGATATGAATGGTGACCTGTTGTGCTTGTATAATAATTGACCTTTTTGAGTGAATACATAATTATTTATTTGTATATTGAGGGATTAAATAAGTATATGATGTGAAAGAGTGTGTTTTGGGGGTATTATTTAGCGAGGGAGATGAGTTATGTATAATGGGTTAGTGTTATGTTGTTTACGTGTATATTAAGGTCAAGTTCTTTCTGGGTTTGTGTTATTTGACCTGTTCTTGATATAGTTTGATCTTATTTGACCTATTTTTGACATATTTTGACCTTATTTGACCTGTTTTATATAGTTTGACCTTATTTCACCTGTTTTTTTTATAATTTGACCTTATTTGACCAGTTCTTGATATAGTTTAGTCTTATTTGACCTGTCATGTCCCCTAAAATATTAAAATTACCCAAACTAACCTAGCCAAAGGTAATTCTAACCAACCTAACCAATTTTAATATATTTTAACCTAACCCAAATAAAACCAAATCTAACCTAATAATCTTGTGGTCATTTTTGGTTAGGTTAGGTTCTTAACAATGAAAATATAGTGTTAGTGGATTATTTATATTATTTTCTTTTATAATTTATCTCTATAATCAGTCGCTTGAATGTCATTTTTATTTGAATTTTTTTTACCCGAATTAATTTTTAGCTGTGTAATTTATTTATTTGTTGCTTGTGTTTACTTTGTTATTTTTAGTTATATTTATAATTGAATGTTACTCTGGGTAGCTTCAGATGACCGATTAAATGTCGAAAAAGTCTGAATTACTAATACAGTCGAGTAACACTTGAAATGTTGGATACTGTACAAGAATAAAGGACTATTTCTTAAGCAGTTTTAGTGGATATATATATATTTTTTTTTACATAGATCATTCTGTTCATTGTCATCCTCGCTGCAATGTTCAGTTACTTGGTGATGGCAGTGTGACAAGGAAGCTAAGTCCAGAATATGTCTTCAAAAGCAATACTCAATCTGCTTAATCAGCGCACATGGCTTGATTGATTAATACACCAAGGCAGTCAGTTTGAACCTGTGGTCTATTCACCCTGGATATATCATCTGTCGTACCGTATTAAAAAAAAATCAGCAAAATATCCCTCACAGACATCTGGCAGAAGAATTACAGTCTGGTGATGGCCTCATGACTTAGCGTTCCGTCAGCTCTTCTACTGTTATATATATCGTCTGTGTTGTGTACGAACTGATTCAAGTGAAATACAAAGAAAGGAGGTGGGAGATGTTATACTGGCAGATAGTAGCATTCATTCCTGTGTGTTATATGTCAGGTTTGGTAAAATGATTATAAACTTGTTGCTTAATGTTGTTGTTGTTGTAGAATATTTCCTTTTGTTTTGAAGGAAATGGCCTGCAGTGCTGATGGCTTACCCACAAGTGAGGCCCTCAGTCTCTTGCATGAGGACATCTCCATCGCTTTGGATGAATATCAGAAGACAGAAGCTGAAAAGTAAGTGTAAAAAAGATTATTAATTAATTTTGAAATACAGTATTAACCTGTGGGGCATATTGGAGTCTATACTTTCTTGTAAATGAGGCGTATAGACTAACCAGGGCGTATGTGCGAATATCTCAACTCGGTTCAATTATTCGGGCTGTACTGCATGTTTTCTGCCCTTGGTTTCTTATGGGATTGTACCACACTGGAGGTGTATCCACATTGCCTGACAATGATGCTATGGACTGACACAGAAAATGGGAAATTGAGCAACCCAGTGATGTGCCCTTGCTATTGTAAACACCTCATATGTTTGGTGATACTGTATTATGTTTTATATTTCAGGAACAAAGGTTTTGGACCAAAGAGTGTTCTGTATGAAGCCTTCCACCACAAGAGTAGTCTCTCTGTGTTTCATTGGACATCAGTGATAGCGTTGATCGTTGAAGGCATCGTGCTGCTGGTGGCCTTCGCTGCATGTAATGACCCCAGGTGTGTACAGTATGGGTCCATAAAATACAACAGGCATATGAAGTTACCTTTGATTCTTTCTGTGCTATATATTGACCTGAGAATGTGGACTGGTGTAATATTCTCCATACATAGGTAAAAATATATGACCTTATGATTTGGTATGAGTGTAAATACAAGCAAACATACAGTAGCAGTAAAGCAACCATTTGTTGACAGATAGGATAACTACTCTGATGTCCTTAATAATTTTTCCATTAGAGAATTTAAGATGAATTTTGTTCTGTTTAGATTTACAGATGATGTAATATGTTTATTATTATTATCAGGTACCAGCATCTTCCTGCCGAGTCCTTCTTCATTTTCTTAGCAGTAATTCTTAACGTGTACTTGGTGTGGTGGGACACTCAGCTGAGGCACAAAGAGGTCCCAAGACTCACACACAACGTCTTAAAGGATCTTAAAGGTAAAGCATTGTGACTTACGGTAACGTTTTTTATTAATATCCGAACATTGTCTGTGAATTTTAAAACTGTTCTTTATTTAGTTACCCACAAAAGTACCGTCAGTGTGTGTGTTGTTTCATACTAGGACCTTGACACTACTCTCCTGCAACTTTCTACACTTATCATTACACCACTACCCACCACTGTTCTCTCCTAACTACAGTATTTGAGGTTTCTTTGTCACTTACTCTTGCTTGTTTCCGTTGGTGTCATGCGTGCCATTTTTTTTTTTCAGAATACCACGGCAATGTGTTGTGGTCTGCCGAGAACTATCCTCACCTCCACTCCCCCTGCATCACCCTCCAGTGGACTCGTCGCGATGGTAACACAGTCAACCTCCCTTGGTCTCTCCTGGTGCGTGGGGATATTATACTCATGAAACCTGGACAGAAAGTTCCTGCTAGATGTAGGCCCATGCAGGTAAGTAGTATAATTTTTATTTATTCCTAACATTTACTGGTACTACAGTATATGCACAAATGATGCAACCCTGGTGCCTAAGGTCCGTAATTGCCTTGGATAATGAGGAGTATCTATTGAAATATATGTGGTGAAAGTTGCTGGCTGAGAAAGCATCTCCCCTTATTCAAATTAATTCTTATGGGGGAAAATTGCCCCAATATTCACAATTTCGTTATTTTCAATGACTTTTAGGAATGCCTCCCTTGCGATAACTGGGGTATTCCTGGTACAGTATGCACGTGACACAGTACAGCCGGGCAGTCACCCAGCTGACCCAATGCCTTAATACATATGTTCACTTCCCACACATACACACACATGCTCTTAATTTTTTTTTTTTTAGTTTTATAATTTCTTTATTTCTAAGCCACATTAGAGTATTGTAATGATTTCTTTTCTTCTCAAACAAGCACAGAGAAGCGATAAACATACTGAGATAAGGGAGAAGGATGGTTTGTTGATCCTTTATATAATGTACTTTAAACCTTTGTTATCAAACCACTATAAAACTATTTAAAATTCAGATACTGTACCATGTGGCAACAATGGTACATATTCTGTTACGAGTAATACTATTAGAAATGTCGTTTGACAATAAATTGACGATACGTATTTAGATAGCCAAGCAACTTATGAATTACACTGGTGTCAATATACATTACTGGACCCTCGATAAAGAATGATATTAGGTTCCTGAAACCTCAATTAGTTGTGAATCATTCTTTACTGAACTTCTTATGGGAAAGAGGGCTAGGGTCTGAACATCGCAAAGATTGACTTTTTTAACTATAGTACGTATGCCTATTTTCATCCACGATGGCGTCACAGCAGTAGAGTACTGCATTCACAAGAGTACTGTACTGTACATAACATAAAATATGGTAAGAAATGATTTATTGAGAATCGTGCATGTCGTATTCTCTTTACCACCGATCAACAACTAACCATCACCACCCTGCACCATCTCCCTACTGTACACCCATCTTATGATGTCAAACAACAAGCATGGAATTATTGTGATCCTAATACTACTCATAATAAAATCACTGGTACTGTACTTCCCAAGGTAAAACTACTTTGTTCAGCAGCACACCTCCATACATTATTTGTTACTTATGGCATTATAAATTTTATGATTTGACAGATAAGGATGGGTGTTTTATTCATATTTTATTTTGCGTTATTAACAAGGTTCTGAGTTATGAATAAATCAACTTATGAACAGGTCCTGAAATGTAACCCGTTCATTATTCAGGGGCCCCTGTACAGTATACAGATTCATCCAAGGCAAACACTTGGATGGATGCCAATATGCAGAAATTAAAAGCAATATAACATTTACGAGACAAAAACTTATCATATTTTCTTTAAGATCTGGAGAAAAAATATAACTTAAGTGTACATCTATTATCTATACAGGTAGTTCTGCTATAACGCGATAATTGTGTTCTTGTAAAATATCGTGTTATAGAAAATCGCGTAATAGAAATAACAGGGCTTATGGAGAAAATAGGGTTAGGTGCAGTTTACTCGAAATCGAAAAAATTTAGTAGTTAGCCTAACACAAAGGATAGCACAGTCTAAATAAATGTTACATTCATATCTAATAATGAAATCATACAGTAAATTTAACACTTTACCTTGAAAAAATATGAATGTAACTTGATGGGGGAGAAGGGTGATTTTGAGGTTGATAACATCAAGCTTCTCTTCAAGTGTTATATCCTTTCTTTTACGATAATCACCGGGAATTCTATCATCAGAATGCTTTTTGGAGATATTCTTCTTTACCATATTCACAGTTAATACCACAAAATTGGAGAAATAGTAAGCAAAAATCGCGTTATAGCAAACAAGCGATCGCGTTATACAAATATTGTTCCGAATTCATAAATCGCGTTAGAGCAAATTCACGTTATCAAAACACGCGTTATAGCAGAACTCACTGTACTGTAATTCAAAATTTATATTTCTTTAATATTGTATACCATCAGCTTCAAATTATATAAAGTTAAATTTACCTGTACATGTGGTTTCTTCTCCAACACTTTCTATGAAGATATTTCATTCCATCCATCAATGGGTCCCAGCTTTCATAATGTGTGAGAAGTGAGACAGCAATAAAAGATGTCATCATGGGAATTGCACCAATATAAATTAGCAGTGAATACTTGATGCCCTTGAGCCAGATGTCCACAAACATTGTCAAGGGAATAGTTAAGCTCAAAGATAAAGTAGCCATCAATGATGAAGTAAGGAAGCATCCCCTGCAAAATAAAACACCTTCAATTCCCAAATAATTCCAATGTAGGTCAAACAATTACAGTATTACCCCGCCTAACGCGGTTTCACTTAGCGCGTTTTCGCATATACGCGGTGCCTTGCCAGAGCTGAACTTTCACTTAACACGGATTTTTTCCACATATACGCGGTGAGTGTCCGGCTCAAGATGCTATTTTTAGATTTTGCCCACGCGCCACCCGCCTGCCTGCCTGCCTGTGCTCCTCGCCTCTCCCTCCTCCTCCCTCCGCTTGGGCAAGCCGCGCGGTAAGGTTGCGCAGTGTGTGTCTTTGTTGCGTTATCACTGACGTCATATGACGTATCGGACTGTGATTGGCCATGCATCCCTACCCCCCTCTGCTGCTAGCTGTAATTGGCTTAAAGTATTATGACGTGACCACCCCGGGGAGGGAGGGAGGGAGGAGAGACGATGCTTGACCTAGCTGCGGCAGTTTGATCCCTCAAGGCCACACCGTGTTAACGCGCATCCATTGTTCCGTAAAATGGCTTCCGCCGGACCACCATCGCCCCCAGAGAGAGACCTTTCCTTACCTGGACCCAGCGGCACTAAGCCAAAGAAGACACGACGTTCATTAAGCTACGAGGTGAAGTACCAAATTGTTCAAGATTTGGAGAAAGGAAGACGGCAAGTTGATCTCGCGCGCCAGCATGGCGTCAACGAATCTACGATTCGTACGATCAAGAAGGATGCAGCCAAGATCAAAGAGCACATGAAAATCACAAAGTCTGCAGGTGCTTCATCTATCAGGTATTGCCAGAACAGGGTGCTGGCAAAAGTGGAAAATTTGCTGGTGAGTTATTTGGTGCGTCAGGCGCGACGCAACATGGCGGTGGACACTCGCTCAGTGCAGGAGTACGCACGTGAGCTATACGCAGCAGTGACACGTAAACTGGGAATTGCAGAGCCCAAACCCTTCAATGCTTCCTCTGGTTGGCTGCATAGGTTTAAGAAGAGGAACAAGATCACCAACATCAACATTGGTGGTGAGGAAGCGAGTGCTGACCGTGTGGCGGCTAGAGATTTTCCTCCGTTTTTACGTGAGATTATGGAGGAAGGACAGTACAGTGACGACCAGGTGTTTAACATGGACGAATCTGGTCTTTTCTGGAAAAAGTTACCTTCCAAGACCTTCGTTGTCCAGTCTGCCAGCAAGGTAAGGGGTCGGAAGTTGCAGAAGGAACGCATCACCGTCCTGTTTACCACCAATGCCTCCGGTACCTGTAAACCAAAGTTATCGGTGATTCACACAGCCCGCAAGCCGCACGCCTACAAGAATATGGACATGAACAAGCTTAATGTCCACTGGCTAACCGCACGTAAGGCGTGGATGTCCTCTTCTCTGTCCCTCTTCTGGTTTGACAACTGTTTTGTTCCCGACGTGAAGAAATTCTGCGAGCAACAGAATGTTCCATTCAATATTTTGTTGCTCCTTGACAACGCACCTGGACACTCGCCCCTACTTATGGATCGTCACCCCAACGTAAAAGTGGTCTTCCTTCCTCCCAACACTACGTCAATAATCCAGCCCATGGACCAGGAGTTGATCTGCAATGTGAAAGCTGCGTACTCTGCAAAGAAGTTCAAGCTCCTGAACGACTCTACCAACACCAAGGATGAGTTGCGTAAGCTGGGTGACACCGACAGCGAGAGTGAGAGCGACAAGGAAGGGCGGTGACTCAAGAACTTCTTCAAACGAGGACAAGGAAGAAGTTTAAAGGAAGAAGTTTAACGTTAAACAAGCTGTAGACTTCTTGGTGGAGGCATGGGATCTGCTGACTATTGCTACGATTCGTCACGCATGGAGACATGTGTTGCATGGCATACCAGGTGAGAGGAGGAGTGAACCTGTGACTGGTCAGGTTCAGACTGTTGCAGTAGCAGTGGACCTTGCCAGAGAAGCTGCGCTCAATATTACAGCTGAAGGCTTCTCCGAGACCACCAACGAAGACATCCTGGAGGTGATCAAAGATCCTGAAGTGACTGCCGACGAGATGTTGGAAGAAGAACACGCCAGTGAAGAGGAGGAAGAAGGTGCGTCATTCTCCGAAGAACCTAGTTTAAGTCATAGTGATATTAAGTGTGCCATAGAGTTTGCAGAAAAAATTAAGTCCGTCCTTTCCCGCGACAATGACGATGAACGCTATGAAGTCTTCCATACCCGACTGGTGCAGGCTATGGAGCCGTACATCAAGGTGTATCACGACAACATCAACACCAGCCGTCAGCAAAGCATAACCGAGTTCTTCGCCCGCAACCCACCACAGCCAGCCCAAGCCAGTGATAGTGAAAGTGAAGTTGACTTTGAGGGATTTGTCAGGGAAGCCCTGACAACTGTAAGTGACAGTGATGTTGATTCACCTAGTAATGGTGATTCACCTGAGGGCCAGTAATCTGCCCTCTGCCTCGGAACCAGCCTCCATCCCCGTATGCCGACCCATCTCTTCTACTACCGTAAGTGTTCCACCTAACTTTTAGTTTCTCTTAGGTAACCTTCATTTTTCCTATGTTAACCTTTATCTTTCCTAACCTAACCTCTTCTATATTACTTGTTTTTTCATACCATCATAAAGTTAAGATAGAATTTTTACTACAACATAGTTATGTGTCGTCAAAAAGTGGAGTTTGGGGGTCGGGCTGGGTTCTATTGGAATTAATCCCATATGTTCTGTTGTTCACTTAACGCGGATTTCACTTAACGCGGGACCCTCTGGGTTCAATTGACCGCGTTAAGTGGGGTACAACTGTATAGAAGGTGTTAACTAAGAAGACAATTCCAAAAAAAAAGAATCTTTACTGCAAAATTTTTTTCTTGCATTATCAGCTAAGAGAGGAATGTATGATATTCTCTGAAACACTTCAATTCAGAAACAAATTCAGACTTTATTTCAAGAAATAAAGTATAAAGGTAAGCACCTATTTGGTACATCCTTTTTCTCTTTTATGATACAGTGGCTACAATCAAGAACATATACACACACACACTGTTCGCTTTTGTCACTCATCCTCTAAACCGCTAAGACACATGCATTGTGCGATATTGTTCCCTTCCACAACAATGCTCAAAGACATCCTTCTACATTTTCCCTGTCACTTTACACAATCTAGCATCCTCAAACCACAGAGTCCATTCTCAAAAAGTACTTGATGCCATACTGTCTAGTCAGGCTCAAGATGATTATAAACTAACCTAAGGTATCATATTGTTTCACACAGAGTAAGCACAGATACTTCTTTTAGCTACTGTACCTATAGTTTTTTATTTTCCTTTTTTATGATGGTTTTTCAATAATCATAATCTATGGTTTAAACATATGGGAGATTATGGCCGGAATCAACATTTCAAAGAGGTCATGGTCATCAGTGCCCAACCATAAAAATTCTGGACATATTAATCAAATTTCATAAATGAGATTGACAATATCAATACTTTGTTATAAATGGTTTAATTGATAAAGCATTACTAACCAAAGCCAAAGAAGTTCAGACAGGACAGTTCCTACTAAGCCATTAACAGACATGTAGAACAGGTGTTGCAGATTTGGCAACTGAAATGTCTCCCATCCAAAAACATCCAACAGGGGGAACCCGGGCCACAGAATGATGGTATTGAAAAAGCCCACAAATCCTGGAGAAAAAAAAATATTAATAAGAAAACAAATTAAAAAGACCAATACATTCAACCTATCTATCTACAGTACCTACACCAACTGTGCCACAAATTTTGTTTTATTTCAAGAAGTTAAAATCATTACACTTTAATAATTCACACCCGAATAACTGAAGGCAATAAATTTGTACAGAATAAAGCAAAATTATCTCTCCCTGAAAAATAAGAATCCTCTCTTTGTGTTAGTGTTGTGTTCTGACAGTTTAACGGTGTGAATTCCCATGAAGAAGTAAATACAATGCCTGCCAAGTAACTGAAGTATGGCATATGAATACGATGTGACAGTTAGAAATTCAATGACAACACAATTGTATTAGCTTATGACTACCTGGTAAATGTAATAGGAGAGTGGTTAAGTTATCATTTCATATTACTGTACAGCTATATTGCTAAAGTATTACCTTCAAGAACTATAAAAACATTGACCAGATCATGATGGATCAGGGAGTTGATCATTCTTTGAACTGGGTCGACTCCTCTGATTTGCCCTTTGAGGAGATGCTGATATTACATAATGATGTCTTCTAGTCCATTTCAAACCATTATTGTCCAGAGGTGGCAAAGAAAATTACAGTACGAGATGACTCTCGTTGGAATGACTCCTCTATAAGTTCACTTTGTATGGATCGTAGAAGTGCTGAATGAGAGAAGCACAGGCAGTGAAAAGACCGTACTAGATCAGAGTACATAATATGACTGTGCGTACGGCTGTTGTTTGTTCAGTGTGGGCACACAACGCTGAATATTGTATACTACAGAAGTCAAGTGGCCTCATGTGGCAGTGACCAGAAAAAAATATATACAGTTATGAATGGGCTGTTGGGCCAAAGGTCTGGAATTACTATGCTTTGTTCCACTTCAAATGGTCAGCTTGCCTCAGATGTTTCCTAAGGTTTTTATGACAAAGATATCATGTGACCTTGATTGTGTTTCTTTAGATGAGAAATTTTCAGTTATTTTTAACCAAGTTACACAATAGAACTCACTCTTTCATCATTTTGTCTTACAGAGGTGAACAACATTCTGCACTATATCAAGGATTTGAAGAAGACTTTGTTGTCGTGATCTTACAAATGTATTTAAGGTATCACTCTCTTATGAACATACTGCAGACTTTATTTGTAGAATCATATATATGTGATTTTCAGAGGGTAATTTTGTGTGATCTGAAAAACAGGCTTTATTACATCCACTTCTGGTCTTGATACTGAAAATATGTAAAATTATAGTCATCCAGTCTCAAGTCTCATTTTCATCAGAGATCATACTATGCTGGATTAGTTACTTTCTCTGTTAGAGAGAAGCAAGTGATCCATCTGGTCCAGTCAGCCTATAGGTTGCATCATTCAACTGAAACTGCCTATGTTGAATTCATAATGATTTGGTAATAAACACTTGCACAGAAAAGTCCTCCCTCCTGGCCCTACTGGATCTCTCTGCAGCATTTGCAGCATGGCTTCAGGATCTTTGGTCATTCAGTGTCCATGATGATGCATTCTCACTGTTTGAGTCTTATCTGTCAGAGTGATCTCAATGTGTGATAGTTGGTGGAACCGTTTCAGACCCGGTCCCTTTGCAGTTTGTCGTCTCACAGGGATCAGTTTTGGGACCACTTCTGTTTACAGTCCATACCAGTAGTTTTGTAATTTTGCTGGATGTGTAGGTTACTAGTGTGCCCTGAAGAATGCTGTGATGGCTAGGGAAACACTGAGTAACACTGAGTCCGTTTATTGTGGATGAGAGAAATACAAGTGGTGACCAGCGTGTGCCAAGCACGGCTCACACAGTCAGACTGAAGCTGCCTTGCCATATGGCAGCCTCGGGGCAATGTTGCCACATAACACGTGCAGTGTTGCCACGTGATTATATATATAAATGCTACTCGGCACAGTAGCTTATGTACAGGGTTGCTACTTGGCACAGTAGCTTATGTACAGGGTTGCTACTCGGCACAGTAGCTTATATACATAACCTACATCTCCCTCCCCCCTCACGCTCATAGTCTTTGTCTTGAGCGGACTTCTTAGTCCTAAGTCGCTCCGAGCGTCGAGGTGCACTGTGGGGCGGATCCTCGTGAGGTGTAGGTGACTCGTCCTCGGTCAGGGGGCCAGCAGTAGGGGGTGGGACTGGCCGGAGGAAGCGGCGGTTCCTCCACCAGACACGGCCGCTCGGCATCCTGACCTTGTAGTCCCGCGACCGGCCGACGCCCATCACTATGCCCACCTTGTCCCAACGTGTCGTCGTCGGGTCCCAGACGCAGACAAGGGCACCAATCTCCAGTGGCTGAAGAGGGCGGGCACGGTCGTCATACCGAGCTTTGGCGTCCTGGGCACGTGAAGCGGCGCGGCGGTCACAGCTCTCGGCTTTGGTCTGCCAGTCCTTCGCAAAGGCCTTGGCGTGTGTAGGAACACAAGAGCGGAGAGGGTGACCATACAGGATCTGGGCAGGGGAGCGTCCTGTGTGGGTGGGAGTGGATGCGGGTTCTGGGCAGCTCTGTGTGGCAGTGCCAGGCGCGTCGCTCGTTAACTCACGCACCCTGCTGGCGGTGTACCGAGCAGCTGGGATCTGCTCAGGAAAGTCTCTGGGCACCACGCCTAACTCCTTGCAGTGCACCCACGACAACAAGGGTGTAGCGAGAGTAGGCCGCACGTCGATCCATCAGTAACACGACCTGTCGCCGTAGGTGATCTCTGCCTGAAAGGAGCCCACAGCGTCCGGCATCTGGGAACCGTCCGCATTGTAGTACTGCAGCTGCGGCGGTGGTCCCAGGCCGCGTTTGGTGAGGCCCAGTTTCTGGAGGTGCTTCAGGCCTATCACCGTAGTATCGGCGCCGGTGTCCGGTATCACCTCGATGTGACCCGACACATCACCGTGTGTGACGGCGACGCGGATAGTAGGGGAAGGGGTAGCCCTGGGGCGTGTGGTCGATTCCACCCTCCTGATGTGACTCCGCTGCTGCTTGGGGCTGCGTGGGCCATCTGGAGGGGGCTGCGTGCGAACCACCCCGAGGGAAGTGCGCTGCTGTCCTCCTCGTCTCGGGCTTTTGGGCTTGGGTTGGCGGCAGCACTTGTCGTAGTGTCCATAGCGACCGCAGGCCTGACACTTGTGGCCTCGTGCAGGGCACCAGTCTGTGTTAGACCAGTGGCCCTTACGGTCACATCCACGACACAGTGCGTCGGCGGCCGGGCATGTCTTGGGGCTGTGCTGCTTTCCACAGCTGCCACAGGAAGCACTAGGCGGAGGCGTGGAAGAACGTGTGGCAGCCTTCGCGTTGTTGGCCGCCTTCTTATCCTTCTTGTATTGTGAGATAGCTCTCACAGCAGGTGGGGCCCGTAAGGCAGAGGTGGCGGACTTGGTGGCCTCGTATGACCGACATTCAGTCACTACCACCTGGAGTGTGGAGGAAGCGTCCAGGGGGATGAGTCGCTGCATCAACTCTTCGTGCCTGACACCTGTCAAGATCCCGTGCTTGATCCAGGCTTCCTCACATTCCCGGCTGTGCGCCTTGCAGACGTCGATCTCCTCCGACAAACTCTTCAAGCGTACAAAAAAGTCGTCAAAGGATTCGTTCTCCGCCTGCTTGCAGCTGGTAAAGGCACGGCGACGCAAAGCCTCGTTGTTCCGACCCTTAACATGCTCCTGTAAAAGGTCGAGCACATCCGTCACTGAAGGTGTAGAATCGGGAGGCACTTGCAACGTGTGCTCCAAAACTCTCTGGGTCTCCAGCGACAAACACATCCGCAGTTGGATGAGCTGTTTGTTTGGAGGCATGCTGTCAAGGTCCACCATCGTGGAGTAATCTGTCCAACGCCGCCTCCACTCACGAAAAAGCTGAAACGTGACGTCTGGTGAGAGGGCGGGTGGGGGTTGAACAGATGCCTTGGGAGCTGTTGGGGTAGCAAGAGTACCTGGAGGACGCTGGTGTGGTGGAGGAGGGAGTGTACTGGCGCCTTGAAGCGCGCTACCTGCAAGTGAGGGAGGGTGGGTTAGCGCCAGGGTCGCCAATAGCGCCTCAAAACGCAACTTTTCCTCCTCTCTTCGTGTCTCCTCCCTCTGAAGTTCCATTTCTCTACGTCGCTCGTCCCGGTCGTCCATCCACTTCAGAATTGTGGCGATGTCCGTCACTGGAGGTGGAGGATGAGAGTCTGCGCCCGGTGGAGGAGAAGGTGGTGGGGAGTCGTGTCTCCCATCTTGACGTTGTCCCTTCTTACCTCCCATCTTTGTGTGTGCGTGGACTGCACTGTTTAATATATAAAGTGGCGCCTCAACAGCTCGAACCACATATATAAGACATAAACAGCGCAAAAATCACGCTTATGGTCCAGGTCCACTGTTCTGTCCGTGAGTGAGTGAGTGAGTGCGTGCGTGCGTGCGTGTGTGTGTCTGAGAGAGCGGAGGGAGCGTGGACAGCTGCGTGGTCCGGCAAGACCGTCAGTGTCCCCCGGATGTCGCACGAGAAGGGTGTGCGCCTGCGTGCTCCGTGGGTACCACAAAAAAACAGGCCAATGCTCAACTTAGCTCTAGACACACACTAATACACTGACACTAACACTGCCACTGTCACTAAAACGCACTGTGACGGCGCAACACTGCACATCGCGGCGAAACACAGCGCAACACAACACAACACACTGAGTCGACGCGCATCACCGGCAGACGTAACTGTCGGCATTGTTCACACACTTTGTAAGTCCACAGATCCTTGACACTGCGCCATGAAAGTTACTAGTGTGCCCTGAAGAATGCTGTGATGGCTAGGGAAACACTGAGTAACACTGAGTCCATTTATTGTGGATGAGAGAAATACAAGTGGTGACTCGCGTGTGCCATGCACGGCTCACACAGTCAGACTGAAGCTGCCTTGCCATATGGCAGCCTCGGGGCAATGTTGCCACATAACACGTGCAGTGTTGCCACGTGATTATATATATAAATGCTACTCGGCACAGTAGCTTATGTACAGGGTTGCTACTTGGCACAGTAGCTTATATACATAACCTACAGGATGTTCATGGTGTTGCCTTACTATTTCTATGCCAATGATACACAGCTTTATGTCCAAATGATAAATGTCAAGGATATTGAGAGATATTGAAATTCTTGATGTCTGATATTAAAAAATGGATGGCTAGACGAAAACCTAAGATGAATGATGGCAACACCGAGATTATCGTCATCCAAGGAAATAGGAGGGGTTACAGCACAGATGATTTTGGCTCTTTAAACTTTGGAGAAGTACAACTCAATCCTGTCAATTCTGCTCATAATCTTGGAATGTATACTTTGACTCAAAACTGAATTTTAGAGTCTATCTCGATTAACCCTTTAGAGGGCAGCCCCACACTTAGGTACTATATTCATTTTATTTTTACTTTTATCCTCTTTGCTACCGATTGGCTCATTAGCAGCTTGGGCAGTCGGTCACATCTCTGTTATGTACTGTTGGCGAATACTGGGCATGCACTGACTCCTGAGTATATCGGAACCTGCTCCAATGTTGGTCAAATCTGGTCTCAAATGAGCTCACACTCAGTGCCGTCACAACACTCTCGGGTAGATTGTTCCTCGAATTCACAATTCTCACTCCAAACATGTTTGCCCTCACAGTTTTATGGACTTGTGGCTTCTTCAACCTTGAGCTGTGACCCCTTGTGAGGCGGACGTCCGCCAGCTCCAGGTATGTACATTAGACCAAGCAGTGCCCCCTGAGGTGTTTATACACATTGATTAGGTCGCCTCTCGCCCGTCTGTAGTATAAGCTAGGTAGTTGCAGGCGTTCTAATCTCTCTAAGTATTTGAGGTTCTGTAGAGTAGGCCCCAGTCTGGTAGCCCTCCTTTGGACATTTTCAATCAATTGACAGTCTCTAGTATACCTTGGGGAAGCATCTGCTAATGCCAGAAGAATTCATTCAGCTAAAAGGTTAAAGAGCATAGAAACTCAGTTGCAACTTTCATATTCAAAATCTATCGGCTGTGAAACAGTTTTTAGATAGACAGTGTCTTGTGGCACTTATATTCACTTATTTTGTCTTGGGTTGACTATTTTAACTCTTTATGGGTTTGCCTACCTAATTATCTAGTGAAAAAAGTTCAGGGTGGTGAAAAAGGATGCCAGGCTTACATGTGCTCTCCTACTGGGGACTTCCACTACCCTATTCTTAATCGAATTGCACTGGCTTCCAATTAAAGAAAGAAAAAAGTTCAAACTCTGCCTAATGACTTTTAAGGCACTTATGTTTGATGAGCCTAAGTAATTGTCCAACCTACTAAATCCTCTGACCTAGAGCATTGTGGAAATGCTCTTTTGTGGCCCAATCCTTTTCCTATATCGCACCCAGATTGTACAATCATTTGCCTGCATCCATGAAGCAGCTGACTTCTGTGGAGGCTTTTAAGAAACAACTTAAGACCTTTCTTTTATTTTGAAAGCACATGATCCTGAAAAGAGCTTTGGAAGTGATACAACTTAAGGATTAATGAACTGTCACTTCTTGTGATTTTTGTTATATTTTTATTTTTATTTTTTTATTCTCAGAACTTTGACTTGTGAAATTTTGAGCGCTAGTGAATTACTTGGAAGAATTGGAGCTTTTGTTTCTCAAAAGTGCCAGCTTTTATTATTATTAAAACAATATCTGATTGATCAATAAATCTCCCAGAGCTAACTGGGTACTAAGGGCATGGAATGGGGGGAGGGGAGGGAAGAGTGCAAAGAAGAGGAGAGAGAGATGATAGAAGGGAAAGGAGAGGAAATTAATTCACTTACCAAAGAACATAGTAAAATCCATACGATCTTCAGTTGGAACCTTGTGCTTCAGGAAGACCATGTAACAGGCATAAAGAATAGCTCCAGCTATTGACCATACCACACCAACAGGCACAACTGAACTTTCAAGGTTGAGGTCTTCCAAACTAACAAAAACCTGAAAAGTAATTGGCAAGACATATATCCAAAATATCTTAAAAATATTTGTTGGGTATATTCAAAGTTTTAAACTGTTTTTTCTTGGATAAACACTGTCATCAATCACAAAACAGTAATGAGGTCTCCTAGCTTTCAAACATGTATCATTATCACATGTACACTTTCCAGAACATGTAGTGTATCTCGAAAACTAGATACACTACAATACTGTACAGGGATCCCCGACTAACGAACGTCCAACTTACGAACGCCTGCAGATATGAATGGGGTTAAATGTGAAATTTACAGTATCTCTTTAATTTACCTGTAAGCCCCCCAGAAGATGTTTTAAATCTGACCAATATCATGTACATTTTGAGGCTATGTGCACTTGATATTAGGAGATATTCTAAAATCAATAGTAAATACTTTTTACAATACAAAAATGCCTGAGTACAATACTGCATTAAAGAAAAAGTATTGGAATTTTCTGTTGAAAAGGGAACCCCCGCCCTGGATCCACCCATGTGGTTATTTGCACATACAGGTACAAAATATTTAAAGTCAACAACATCCTGCAGTCTCCCATCCACACCACTGCACCTCTTGTGTACCCACCTTCCACACTCACTGCACATTACTGATGCTACCAACACCATTCTTACAGACAACACATAGCCATTAGCAATTTTGGATAGTGCAAACTTTGAGGATGGAAATTTCTGAAAAATAGTTGAATTATGATATATTATGAACTATGGAAGTTTTGGTGGATAAATATCACAAAGATGAAGCATAAAATTTTATATGCTAAAATCTGGGCCTTTGGCTGGTTATGTGCTACAGTCTTAAAAAAATAAAATAATATAATATACCTGTAATAATATAAAAATGGACAGTACTGTACATTACATCTAATACAATATTTGACTACTTACCACACCTGCAACCATAAGAAGAACTGAGGCCAATTTGGAGAGAGTAAACTTGTCTGTTAAGGATGATGGAAATATGGCAGCAAGAATCAAGGTAAACAATCCAGATGTTGATGAAATAATATTGACAACACCAGCTTCTGTGTTGCTAAGTGCTATTTGGTAGCTGTAATTGCCTGCAAACCACTGAAAAAAAGATAAATCTAGATTAGGAAGAAACCTCAAAGACTCAAACTATCTAAAACTATGAAATCCTATTGGTATGGCCAAAGGTTGCGTGAAATTCTAGCATACTGAACACCCCATGATAGCTGCCAGACATAATAAGAGTAAATTTATTCAGTGGCAGGAAGCATAATTCATATCAACAATGCAATTTCTGTAAGACAGTCCTTCACCCAATCACACCAGGAGTGATCTGAACAATATATGGTCCAGCTAAACCATGAAATTTTAAGGTAGCCAGCCAGCAGTAAGGAGATAAAAAGTTGAACTCACAAGAATCCCAACAATCTCATCAATCAGCAATAATGATAAGTACAGTTCTCCTAGCCCTTGAGTCTTAGCTTATTCATAGCCAAACACTTGGGAAACAGAGGGAAATCTACGAGATAACTGATTGGCTGGTAGACGAACATACGAAGAATCACTACAGTTCTTCAGTATTTAATTAATCATATATATATTCTGATACTTTAAAGAAATTAACTTTACTGTGTTGATCTCTGGTAATTTCTGCACTTGGGGAAATAAACATTAGCATGATAGGGCAAACATATTAACTCAAGAAGATGTGGAAACGTCCTATCTGAGGAGACTAGGACTCTCTGGCATCCAATAAATCGGAATTTGCAATAAGTTGGTATGGCACATGATAACCATTACATTTTGGAGTAGTCGGCAAATTGGCGCTAAGTTAGCAAGTCCCAAGTTATGTGCAAGAACTCAAAAGCTGGCCCATGCTTAGTAGCCCATGTCGGCCCCATGATCATCAGTTTACATGCGCCTCGTGTCACTGGTAGACCTTCTGACAGTGATTAAGCGCCCATGAAGCGTTACCGTACAGATAGTGTTAAGTGTCATGTATAAAGTGTAATCTTTTGCTTGTCAGCACAATTATTTACTGTGACTGTGAAATAATACTTGCCGGCAAATTCTGATTAATTGGCAAGGCCTCGGTCCCATATGTGCTGAGTTATGGGGGGTTTACTTGACTCCCAATATTGTGAGAGCAACTTGGCAAGGATTTAATAATAATTAATATCTCTCACTTTCACACACACACACAGAATGAAGGAGATTTAATATAAAAAGCTAAGTGAATATCCGAGATAAAATCAACATCTATACTTACCAATAAACAAAATATACTAGATATTTTCATAACTTCCTTAACAGATAATTTATTTGCTGCCTGCATAGCCAGTTGTTCAGCACGGACAGAGGCAGAAAAAGACAGGCGAGACATCATGGCATCAACTGCCTCGTTTTCTGACATTTGCCGAACCTAAAATAATGAAAATTTTTATAAATCAATATCCTATAAGAGACAAAGAAACAATATAAGAAATCCAATTTTATGATTTAGGGGAGGAGATAAAAGATTTTTGGGATTATCCACAAATAAAACACTGGTAAAGATAGAAGAGATTGATTGATTGATTGATTGTGGTAATTACATCCCTGGCAATGCAACAGCCGAATTAAACTAAAAGCTTAGAAGGCTAAAAACAAATAATGAAAGCCAAAAAACATAAATAAAAATAGTTTAGATTTTTCATAAAACCATTTAAACATTCGATAAAACTCAACGCTTTTGTAAAATGGCAGCTTCCTCTACAAAGGAGAGGATGTCCCCTCCCATGCTGCCCCCCCCCTCCTCCCAGCACCAAAGAAATGGTAAGGCCCGTCTCCCCCCTGGGACTCGGAGAGGTGCCCACGACAAAGATCTGTAAGACTGGGGGCACTCCACCAGGTGTCGAACAGTCAATGGGACCATGCAGTCATCAAAATGGGGAGGGGGCACCCTCTCCATTAAAAAAAAAACATGTGTCAGCTGCGTGTGGCCAAAGCGGAGGTGGACCAAAATAGTCTTCTAGCGGCGTTACAGTCCCTGATATCCCCAGGCACCCAAAGCAGGATGAATGTTGCAGAGCTTGTTTGCTCCAACAGCATCCCACCTGCATTGCTAACTTGAGTGGATGTCAGCTCTTATTACTGGCTTCATATCAGAAGCAGGTAGATGTTAATGATGTGCCACAGAGTGAGGAGCAGCTGTTTTTGCCACAGCAAACAATGAAATTCTGGCCCAGATGTTGAAAGAGAAACAGCCACTCTAAAATAACTATAACCAAGGGATGAGGCAATGAGATACTTGCAAAGGCCTGGAGAGCACTGTGAGAATTGCTAAATATTGTAAAATCACAATGAGGTCGGGTAAAAATAATCTTGAGGGCAAGTAAAATACCTGAAAGCTCTTCTGTAAAACAGCTGCCGTAGCGGGTAGACTACTGTCACGGCAGAAGTTGGAAAGACTACCGGTACCCAAAAACCCACACCTACATCTGAAGTTGAGTCCCCGGTGTAAACAGGGATAGTCCCTCTGTGAGACGAGGCATGCTCTAAAAAAAAAGAGAATGAACCACACAGGGAAGGAACAAGTCCTTCCTTATTTTAAAATACTGACAAACTTGAACTTCAGGGAGAATCCACAGGGCAGCTCTAGGGAACTGCTTGGGGCATATCTGAATAGGAGAAAGACAAAGAAGACTCGCAACCTCCCTTATCCTGAAGTCAAAAGGTCGCGCGAGGCTTGGATGTTAAGTGTAGGGACATATTCTCGTCAGCTACACAAGTGTTGGTTACAGATTGCAGAAGGCAACTGAGGCAAAACCAACACTGGACCTGGAGATATTGGCATCGAAGATCATCGGGTGGCTCATCAGCAACAACCAGTAGACTTGGAATTGGCTAGAACCTGAAAGCACCAGTCACACCCCAGCATGATGAATAGAGTTCAGTGTAGTGAGTCTAACCTCAGTGGCTGAGGAGCACACCTCACACCCATAATCCAGTTTGGGTCTAACTAGTACTATGTGGTAAAGGTGTAGCAGAATTCGTCGGTCAGCACCTCAAGAAGTGTGCCCCAAGATTTTCAATAACTTGAGAGCATACTAAAGACTCTTTCAGGTAATAAACATGTGGCTGCTATAGAAGCTGGTTGTTAAGATAATGCCCAGCAAATGGGTCTCTGTGACACAGCACAGGCAACCATAGAGCTGTAGATTGGAATTGAGGTGAACACCTTGGCGGCAGCAGCAGAAATGCATGGTAACAGTCTTCAAGGGAGAAAATTTGAAACCATGCTCTGTGGTCCAATGAAAAGCCTTATCTAGTGCAAGTTGCATGTGACGTTCAGCCACTAACTTGCAGGAAGCTGCATACCAAGTGGCCAAGTTGTCTACATACAATGAGAAGCTGTTACCCCATCTATTGCAATGGTCCTGAATATGTGGTGCTGACATTTCTGTGGCAATGTGGACCCTAAAAGTCCAACAGCCCAAGAACTGACCTATTATTGATGGTAAATTTCCCTGCAAGCCAAAATTTTGAAGGTCCTTAAAGATGCCGAATCTCCAAGCTGTGTCATATGCTTTCTCTAGGTCGAATAAAATACAGATGAGATGTTGGCAATGAGCAAAGGACTCACAGACCGAGGACTCAATACAAACAAGAGCATCTGTTGTTGCAGCATCATCCGGAAGCCAGATTAATATGGTGAAAGAAGGGCATTCTTCCCCAGGTAGTATACTAATCGAGACTTGACCATCTTTTCAAACAGCTTGCAGATACAGGAGATAAGAACTATGGGGCAATATTCTCGAGGGCAAAGAGCCTCTTTTCAAGTCTTCTTGAAAGGCAAGACAGTAGCCTCCCACCATGAGAATGGGGTTGCGAATAGCGAAGTAGTATTCTTTTACCAATAAAAAATTCCAGGAATGTTGAATTTTCCGGGTTTGAGAAATTTGTATCATTACCGGGAAATCTCTCATTCCCGGAAGAGCTCTGCATCAATTATTCAAGTTAGTGGGGAGCTGAATTATATCAACTGTAGCTATACTACCACAAAGAATCTCAAGGGAAAATATAGTTTCTATTATTAGTATAAAAAAATAAGTAAAATAAAATCTAATCATGATTTTTTCACTCTGATTTAAATCATATTAACTCTGTCTTGAACTACAGAAATTCCAAAACTAAGCCCTGGACATAAAGAATTTGTTGAAGATCTTCACTTTCAGTAATTACATTCCCAACAATCTAGACTTACCTTTAAATTTAAATAGTTACTGGTATTCTCTTAAAAGAAGCATCACTACATACCTCTGTCAATTTGCTGAAGCGGACGGACTTTACTGAAGAGTCATCAGATTCTCCATCAGAGCTTTTTTCTTGCAATTCTTGTAGTTTCAGAGGAACATACTTTGGTTCACTCTGAAAATAAAAGAGAGGGCTTGGTGAGTGGTGTTAGGGCTCTGAACATTTTGAAATAATCATGAAACTACAATACAATTATGTCCCTCTGAAAATATCAAACTTCTTCATACAGCAATGGCCAACTCAAGACTAAATTATTTATGTTAACCTCGACTATACTGTGGTCATACCTTGTTATCCATTAAAAAGAACTGACACGCTTCATATGAGAACACTTTGGGGAGGGGGGCAATACAAAAAATCCAGGGATTTATGGTCCTTTTAACTAATCAGTTTCCTTTCATAGTGGTTCTCCAATGATCAGGTTTAGCTAACACGAAGCTGTGGCCTCTTGAGAGTACAGTAATTGGTACAATATTGCATTTCAAAATTTTTGAGAAGTGAATGTTTTAGTATTTATGCAGTAGCTAGTAAACCTCAATCCTATGTCCAATTTCCCTCTGTCTTGTAATGTCTATGGGCCCAAGGATTTGCATCTGTCCTCATATGACAAATGCCCTGTATGCTAACTCTGGGACTAGATTTATTGCTACATGCTGCATTTTGGGGGAGTAATTCATTATATTTGGCTAGAAAAAGTGACCAGTATTAAACTCATAGTCAATGATAGGTCTGACTCGTGTCAAATAAAGTGGTACAAATATATCCTTATTTATAAAGGTAAAGATACTCTGTATTAGCCAAGTCTACCATTGGCTTTAGCTGCAACAGTGGAAAGCAGGTTTTTCAATAATTACAATCGAAAGGTTGAGTACATTTTCACTTGTGTACAAAGAAATGTATGTGTTTGCCCTCAGGACAATTTTTTTTTACCTATATTGCATATATATATGTGTGTGTCTACACACATATACAATACAGGTAAAGTAAATTACTGTCTCTAGAACGAATGCTCCTTGTCCCAGCAGTGAAAATGACGGCAACTTTAAAAATACCCGCAGACATTCTTGGGTACATCCAGGGTGTCATCATGCGAATAATAGAGGACTGCGAAATAAAAATTAACGAATTATTCGGGCGTTTTGTACATTCAATATAAAAAATTTTCCCAAATCATCTGTGCACTTGTGCTCTTCACATTTCTTTTTCATCACTCATAATGCACAGCAGATTATAATCGGTTATGCTGCCATTATAATGTTTCCTAACAAATGCAAAAGTGATGGTACTGAATCAACACTTAAACTCTGTGACCATGGTGTAAGAACCACAAAAATTATGGCTTTGAAAAAATGTGATAAATTATTAAGTGTTCAATATTTCAGCCCCAAGTTAACCCCTTCACTATGGGGATGCCACTCTTTTAATGTTTTATTTGGTTAATGCCAAATAATTTGATTCAGCAGAGAGCCCCTAAACACAAGGGGTTTATTAGCACACTACAGTATACACTGTACAGTACGAATATAGGTAAAAAAAGACAGAATAATACCGTTTCATTTTTTTTTCAGTGATAAACTATGTTTCATTGAAATTAAAACAGTATTTAGTAAGTAAAATACAGATACAAAGGCCGAACCAGCCTAGTGAGTGCCAGGGCACTCTTGGAGGCACCTGAAAAATACTGCACATTTATCTCAAGGCACTCACAGTTGACCCTTAATTTACACAGTACATACAGTACTATAGTTATACAAGGTATTCTTCAAAAACACTGAACAAACAGAAGCCATGTAAAAATGAACAACGAGCCAAAGTCTTGAGGCTTTTTTCAGGTATCCCCAGGTGCTTAGGTCTGTCTCAAACAATGATGCAGATTTTTGCTCAACACCTTTGAAGACCACAAATTTATTTATTCATTGTCAGGTCTGTTCGGAGAGATCAGTCAGTTGGTTTATCAGGGCTAGGGTAGTGAGAGTTACCTCACTTCAGCAAAAGGTTGACCGTAATACTGTATGATGTATGATAAACAATGAAATTGATTCATATCATATCAGTTCAGCAAGGCAGTCAACCAGGTGTATCTTTCGTGTGTTTGTGTGTGTGCATCTGTATGCCATGACATCACACCAAGGGGAGGGAGCACGGTCTGGGTGACAAGCCACTGACTCGGTTAAAGCCTCCTGCCTACCGAATCCATACAAACATTCACTTCCCACACATACACACCCATGCTCTTAAGTTTTCTTATTTTATAGCTTTATACTATTTTTATTTTTTTCAAAGCCACATTAGAGTGGCGAGTCAGCAACATAGCTACAGCCCACTGCCTCCCAAGTTCGTTCGTTCATTCTCTCTATCTCTCTCCCACTCACACACACTTCGCTTTTCTTAGTTTATAGTTTATTGCATTTTAATTATTTCTAGGCCACCTTAGAGTATTATAATGATTTTTCCTCAACTTTTATAGCATTACTGTTGTCTTTTATTGTCGTTATGAAAAAGTGCCAGAATTAAGGTAGAGGGGCTCCATAAATGGTTGTAGAACACATCCCCATAAGATTAAGAATTCACTTTGTGATTTCAAGTCAGGCGAAGTTTTTGCAGAATGTAATCCTCGCATGAAGCAAGGGTCAGAGGAATTATGCTTACAAACATACAAAAACACCCGGAAAACACTGAACAGTTGATCAACTGTCATTTCTAAATATCTAATATCAGTCTGGCAGCCATTATCTTGGCATAAAAAAATTAAATTGTCTCTGACTCAGTGTCTGGGTCTTAACCACTTTGGCCTCAGCTCTAACTGGGCCCATATGCTGAATTAGCACTAATGACTTGGTTAAATACTACAGGTATCGTAATTCAAGTGGATTAACAATAATCTCCACTGTTCATGTTATGCCAAGCACCAAGAGGTTGAGAATACTGTTATACAGATCTCTCTCAAATGTAAATTTTTATGACAAAACCATCTCAAACAAAAAGAAAAAATCAAAGTTTTTATCCATTTTATGTAAAGTACACACAACAATATAATAGACTGGAGCGGACCTTTTCAGTTCCGAATTTCCCCTTCATTAGATATCCTAAAAATGTCATTCCTTACAGTAATATACCTTTAACTTATACTTTCTTATTATCAAAACTGTTAAACACACATTCAACAAATATAATTCTATCTTCAGTACAACTTCCCTCTCACAGAACATTACAACAATGGTGAATTTCTTTCACACATTATTATTTTCAACAAAATCTATAACTAAAAATTTTATTAAAAATTTCATCATTGTACTTTACCCTAATGACCTGATACAACAGATCACACACACAACTACTAATCCTCCCCCAAAAGTAGATTTTACATTTCACACGCAATTTATTCTCATTTAAGTTCTAAATTCACTCCCTCATTTTTCATATTTCTATCATCATAAACCCCAATAAATATTTGTTTTAATTTTTGAGTTGAATGCCAATTTATTTTCCAATTCTTCAACAAAATTTTCTTCCTATAATGCATTCTTAACTTCATATCTTTGAATGCTAACAACTCCTGAACATATGACTGGCAAAAATAATTTAGAGACACCTTTTCATCATTGTTGTTATAAATCGTTCTAGCTTGTTGAATGGGTAAATAGTGCCACAGGACCAAATGTGTCAGTTGAGCATTCGCATCACTGTCTCTCGCAACACTAGATGCCAGCTGGTCCAAAGTGAAGATGGGCACAGGTGGAGGGGTGCGCCTGTCTCTCGTCTGCAAGAGCTTCATATCAATAAGAAGAGTAATAAAAATAAATACTTCTATAATATACATTACAATAATCAGTATAAACCCTGATAATTATTGGTAAAACATTAAAAAATATTTTCCATAAATTTGATTAAGATTTCCTGACATTTTCGCCCCCAGGCCCCGATGTGGGTCAGTGACCTGTGCCCGGGTGGGCTAATCCCTGTAAAAAATAATAATAATAAAATGGATAAAAACTTGGTTAAAAAATAAATAACAAAATGGGGGTAATCAGCCTCAGGTACGTAGTCATCTGAGGTCCTCATCAATGACTTAGGTGAAGGTTTCTGAGCACAGTAAAACTCCACACAGTGCAGTAGCTGCATTCTCAGAAAATGCCAGGTCATGCAAAATAGCAACTTCTAAAGAATTAATGTATTCTCTGGGTTTCAGATTGTTCATAAAACTTGTTAAAAGTAACCTTTTGACAAGTGTTTAAGTATAGATATTCCTCACTATATGCAGTCTGTATACTGAATAGACTTTGTATAGAAGAAATTTTTAAGTAAGTGAACACTTTTCACTATGTGCTACATATATTCATTAATACATAATTTCTCCTGTCATGCAAATTTTAAACAGGTGTACCCAAACAATTTTGGACCACACCACTCTACTACAACCTATGCAGTTGCAATACATTTATCCATCAAGTTAAATGAGACTAGTGAGGTGGATATGCAATGTGGCACTGAAAGACAAAAAATCCTTTTCAGAGGTAAGAGGGTGGCTGGTATTGAGTTCTATTGGCAAAATTCTGTGTAGCAGTATGCTGAGATGGTTTGGAATTTTGGAGAATGAATCACACTAATTAGGTCAAGAGGTGTATGAGTCTAAATGTGGGGGGAGAAGAGCCAAGAATGACATGGGGAGAGGTTGTAAGAAATGACATTAAGAGTTAAGAACCTGACAAGAGGGAATGCAAAAGACTGTAGAATGGAAAGTTGCCATCAGATAATCACGGCTAATCCACACAAGCGTGGAAAATGGTTATAAAACACTTTGCCCAA